GCTGGTTTTCCGTTTTTTTAAATAGGGAAGAAGGCTGACTAGTTTGGTGGGGAAGGAGAAGGGCCGTTTATTTTTCTAGATATTGCGTGCATATGTACCGCGCTATACTATAGCGCACGGTATACATGGGCGATATACCTTCCCGCCCATTTAAATTCAAATAAAGCACGGTTATTTACCGCGCTATACCTTAACGGACAAACGTGTCATTAAGGTATAATACGGTGAATAACCGCGCTATACATATCATGGTGCCCGGATTCACTGCGCTATACATATCATGATGTCCGGTCTTTTTTCACATATTATGATTGCTTGAGTCCAAAAGAACCACAATTTGATTCCGTTTTCCTAAACTTAAAAGCCTTCGCTTGATTAAAGAATTTATATTATAGTTAGGGAAAGGGGGCAGGGGGGTTGAGAGTCGGAGAAACATTACATTTCAAAGAAACCATTGCTTCTAAAGCTGGGAAGTGAATCAGAGAAAAGCTTTCAACAGTGCTAAAGCACTAGTGCTTTTGCAACATTAAAGCCAATTCCAGGAATCTAACAGTGCCTTCCCTTCCCCCTACAATAGTAGCCAACCTCTCTTTACTTTTCATCATTCTTGTTGTTACTGGAATCAAATCATTATAGTCGTTTACTACAAAACTCAAAGTCTTAGGAGCACTCTCCATCATCACACTAAAGAGTTGAATCATTTTTTTCCCTTTCTTTTTTACATTTTTATAATATCTTTTTCACAACACAAACAATCAAAACATAGTTCAAAAAGTAACAAAATATGACCCATATTGTCTCCCTTTGTTGAGTAACAAAAGAAGGTTCCATTCACTCTCTTTTATGGAACAAAAGACTTCTTCTTCTGCCTTACAGCTACTTGTAGTCATTTCAAGAATTTTCATCATATTTTTTTACTTTTACTTTTTGTGATTATTCGAAAGAGTCTTCAAATATTAGTAATGATGAACAATTCGTATTTAAGAATAGGAGAGAGTAAAAACTTGTCCCATACTATAAAAGTATATACTACTAATAGATTCTCATGCTTGGATTATTTTTGTGGGAAATCATGTTTCATCAATCTTTTTTCCTTCAAAATTTTCCTCTTTGGGTTCTTGAAATAAAGACATCTTCAGGGGTCTCATCAACTACAGCAGCTTAGAACTTACACATTCGAAAAAGAAAAGAAGGAATAAACCCCTAGAAAATCCTAAAAGGAAAAAAGATGAAATAGAAAGAGGAAAACTAAAGGGGGAAAAAAGTTAAAAAACCAACAAAAGGTACAACCAACAACTACAGATTTTCCCTAGTTGTAATATATATTTTTTCTACCTATGGCTGCAGAAATCCAAAAGCATCTTCCTTGCTTGAACAATTTCATCAAAAAAATCATCCAATTGTCCAATAATATTGTCAGTACCAGATCTCAATACCCCAAAACAGGCTTTCAAATTATCAACTCTTTCCCTTATCCCAATTTCTGATTCCCATTCCACAACACTAGTACTACTCTGTCTTTTCTCCAATTCACCTCTTAGTTCATCCAAAGCTGATTTTGATCTTCTAAACTCATATAACAAAACCCCCATTGATGATGTTGAAATCATCTCATTAGCCACTCTCTGTTGCAATCTTGAAGTTGAGATCATGAAATTGGATCCAAAAAACAAACAGTCTGAACTTTCTCCTCCTCTTAAAAATTCTGATTGAGGCCAACAATAGACTAATCCATAAAGCAAGATCATTAGCAAAACTGAACTAACATTCCTCATTGCATATAAAACTCCTCTGAATCCATTGAATCCATTTAGCTTTGATTCCACTGAAACTGCCTCATCAAACCTTAATGAAAGTGGCTCTATTCTTGTTTCCATTAATGCTCTATTCTCTTCCTCTAATCCCACTGCTTCTCTTTTACATCCTGTTATTGCTCTTATCACCTGTTTTTTTTCTCAAGAAAATCAGTACAAAAATCAAGAAAATACCCAAAAATACAATGGATTTTTGTTTTGTTTACCTGTCTAGATAATTGTGGGGTAAGATGGGGATGAGTATCAAGAGAAGAAGTGACATTAAAACCAGCAGAATAGTAATTCTCAATGCCTGAAATGCCATTCTTGAGAACATGGCAAACTTCCCAAAGCTTTGAACTTTCATCCATGTATTCATCAAGCCATTTTTCACCAACTGGTAAGTGAAGTTTTTGGACAAGAAGTGTTAACTGTGTGTGGAAAGATCTCAAAAGGGAAAGTACCCTTTGAAGGAATTGAATAGACATGAATTTATTAGAAAGGAAAACTCTTTCAAGATCATCAATTCCTCTTGTTAGAAAACTGTAAAATCCATTCACAGAGTTTGAAGGATCCATCATATTCATAACAAGGATGGAACTAATTAAATTAGAAGAGGGAGAAAAAAAGATTATGAAGAGAGATATATTTATATTGTTGAAGAAGGGAATGAATGAATGCCTCTTAGAAGCTCAGGTTTCTAAAAGAATTGTTGGGAGCAATGATGAGTGTTTCCTTTGGAGGGGAAACGATCATTCATAATCTGCCATTTTCAATGTTTAATGGGCAGAAAGGAAGCTAAAGAAAAGAACAAGCCTTTTATTTTAAAATTTTAAATAAAAATAAACAACTTCCCCTTTGTATTAAAGCAAACAAAGTGTGAGAGAATGAAACAGGGGAAAAAACTACTCAAAAACATGAAACTGTCATGAACTTATTTAGCTCTCTTCCAATTTCTTCCTTTTTCCTCCTCACTTTTGTGCCCTTTATCTTTTAATGCTTAAAAAAGGAACTCTTTTATGGATAGCATAAGCATAATACCTATACAATAATATATTATATGGGGTAGGCGGGCAGAGTAGAAAAGGGTGAGGAGCTAGCGTTAGTGCTTTCTCTTTAATCTTGATTTAAATATATTTATTTGTCCATTTACATAAAATAATCAAATTTAAAAATTCTGTAATTTATTTTTTAAGTGTGTGCTGGCAATGTTCAATGATGTAAGATTGAGTTCATTGGGTTGAACGGCAGTTTGTATGCAGGATTTGGGTTTTTATTTATTTATTTTCCGTATGTTGTTCGGTGTTTATATTGGGGTTCGACTAAATTTCGCATCTAAAAATCATATATTAGGTCAAACAAAGATAATATTATTTCAAGGGTTCGAACTCAAGACCATAATTAAAAATAAAGGAGTATTCATCACTCTACACACTCCACCAAATGTATTACTCTATCCGGTCCATAATAAGTGACTAATTTGTTTTGGTCACACCTATTAAGAAAGTACAAATTCTAGACAAAAATATTTAGTGTGACTAAACTACCCTTAATTAAATATTGCAGCATAATTAATGTGAGGAGTAAAAGACTTTTTAGGGATATGTACATAAGAGTAATTTTGGAAAAAATAATTTGAATTTGTTCTTAATTATATAAATGAACACTTAATTTGGACCAAAATAAAAAAAAATTAATTATTTATTGTAGACCGAATGGATTAGTAACTGATATTAATTGTTTTTTTAGATGTGGTCATATGGGTAATGAAGTTCTTTTGATTTTAGTGCTTTCTTTGGCTTCTTCTTTCCTCTTTTTCTTCCTCGAGCAACTGACTTTGTTTCCTTTACTTCCCCTCTATCCTATTGAAATTTGTGGGAGATTTTGTGTTCCTTCCTTCTAGATATAAAATCTTGATCTTACATTCCTCTTTTTCGTTTTCATGTTCCTTTTAAGGGGATTTATGAAATGATGTGCTTCTTTGTATTTGTGTGTGTTCTTTGTAACCTTCGACTATGCAAAGACTCAGTCTTTTTAGGCCAAGTAATTCTCTCCTCCCTAGCAGAGCATAGGTACAAAAGGCGAATGGTGGTCAATAAAATATATTTTTTCGAAATTTTGTACGGTATATATATTATTATTATTATTATTATAAAAACATGAATACAATGTCGGTTTACAAAAATAACCTTATAATATTAAGTATAATAACTCATAATAAAATGACATAACCAGAATTTTAAATATTAGTCCAATAATCCTATTAGTTTTAGGACATAATACTACACGTTATAAATCCTGCATGATTACATTTAGAAATGCTATGAGTATAATTACTTTCTGGCTGTGTAATTCATATAAAATTGAATAAGTAAATATCTTTAGTCATGTAATCCTATTACTTTTAGAATATACTTCTTAAAAATTTTTATTAATAATTTAATATTATAATGTCCTATTACTAATTTAATTTGAGAATGTATTATATTGTCCAAATCCTTTAGAAAAAGGAGAGCATATATTATTATAAAACCATAAATATAATATTAATATATCAAAATAGCCCTAAAATATTAAACGGAAGAACTCATATGGAAAGGTCATAACTGCAATAACTTAAGTTTTGGACTACAATACCTTCTATGCTAATTTTTAATATTTTTAAGATTTTAAAATTAATAAAAATTTATGTATTAAATTCTTATTAAAAATATGTAGGAAGGTTTAATAAAATCAATTTCATCAGAATCCTTCGTATTGGCAATACATTACCACTCCATAATGTCCAATACCCAAAAAAATAAAAGTACTATTAAATGGACTGCATAAATAGTTGACATTGAGAAAAAAAAAATACTCTCACGATAATATATTTTTATATTATATTTGAACTATTTTTCTACTCATATAATATTTTTTATCAATGTTTTGTGTAATATTAAAAAATATCCAATTATTAAACAATATTTAAGAAAATATTTAAGAATATAAATGTGTGAGAAAGAGAAAAAAATTGGTTGGTAAGAGTCAATACCACTAATGATTCTACATGCATAAGGATCTAAAAGTGAAATGTCATATCAATCTTTTACTCTTTGAAAATAAAATTTATGGTGGATAAAATTATAATTAAGATTAAATATTCAAAACAAGAGATGAACTAATATTAAGTTCTGAATCAACATAGAATAAATTATTTTTTATGTTAAAATCAAATAATTAAATCTTTTAATTAATTATTTAGCAAGAGAATCCAATTCAATTATTTTTTAGATTCATCACATGAGTAAAATTCTTATTCAAGTAAAAACAATCTTAGGGTACATAAATCTACTCCATAAAAAGAGCGTTAGAACACAAAGTAAAAAGGTTAATATATTATTAAGAATCAAAATGCTATACAAGTGTCCGAGAAAACACAATCAAAGTTAAATCCTAAACAAGAACAAACTTTTAAGACTATATTATAAAGAGTCGACTCTGCTATAACGGGATTATTCTTTATAGATGCCTCCGGCAGAATCGAAATAATATTTCTATGTCATGCATTACTTGCAAATATCATATCAAGAGGCATGACACTATTAACAATAAGAGCAAGTGGTGTACCAACAACGATTTTATTGTGAGGCCACCCACTTTAGATTAATATACCTCTTCAAATAATTTAAATAACCATCACAAATATATCAAAGAAGAGCAATTGTGCTAAATTTATAAGGAAATGAAAATCGATAATATGGGATGAAACACTTATGCCTAAGTGTCAAACAGAATTCTAGAGATACATTGGATTCTAATGAACCGTTTGGTAAAAAATTAATGGTTTGAGAGGTAATTTATGTCAAGTACTACCAGTAGTTTCAAAATCGACAAAAGCATAAACTGTAAAAGCTAGCTTGCCAAAGTTATACTTTTGGCATTAAATGAAAAGATTCAACTGACAAGAAATATAAAGTAAGAACGGATCCAGTATTCAGTGTCTTCTTGCTTCGTGTCGGAAACGAATAAGATCATCCAATAAAAGATAATTTGGTTCTTCCTGAACACTTGGTTATCAATCTCAATGGTAATAATAGTGCATTTAATAAGAGAAATATTTCTACCATTAGATTAAAACGCATTTTGTGCAAATCACATGATATAATTAAAAAGACATCTTACCTAGCAGAAATGAATATGTTGATCAATTCAATAAAAGGTTGATTGCAAAATTTTATAGTAAAAATAAAATATTTTTCTGTTTTTGACTCAACAGAAAATGATACAAATAATTACTATCAAGAAGAATATTTAAATAGTTTAATATCAAACAGCCTTCTACCATGCATGTTTATTGTCAAGTTTGTTATTTCTTCCGTATGTTAGTGTCACCATATATATAATAGACTAAGTTGATATTCCATTGTATATAGGTTGATTTCGAAGAAAAATATGTCCGTCATGCTATTGAAAAACGTAAATACCCCGAATAGCTTATGTAATAGCACACAAATGGTATATAGAAGTTTTGGCAATAACGTCATATATGCAAAAATTATGATACCGGTCAATGTGTTTCTAAGTATATTCTTATCCCTGAATTCAACTTTCTTCTTCCGAAAGTAAGGAATATCCTTTTAAATTTGTATGAAAATAATTTTTAGTATGTTTATGTTTTGCAAATATAATAAATAAAGCACAAGGACAAACATCATAAATATTGGACTATATTTACCGCAATATATTTTCTTGCACGAACAACTGTATTCTGCACTTTCAAGAGGGATATCAAAATCGACAACAAGAGTTTTGGTTAAGGTAGAGCAACTAAAGCATTAGGAGAAAACATACCCAAAAAAATATTGTGCATAAACAAGTGTTCGTTAAGATACCACCACATTAACTACTTTTAAACTATAATACATAATTATCTAACTAACATAACAAAATTGATCATTTGTGTAAGTTTTGATGATGTCATTTTATTTTAAATTCATGTATATGCTAATGTAATAATATTTTTTGGCATTTAGATGATTGTTGTATTATTATACATAAAATCTCTCTTATTAATTATATTTTATTATTCTTTCATATAAATAAATATTTAAATCATCACGTATTATTATTAACTTGCAACACACGTTCATAAATACTAGTATATATATATATATATATATATATA